CTGCTCCCCGCCCACGTGGGGGCGGCACTTTGCACAAGCCCTGCACCAGGAAAACGTGGCCCGGGTCCAATCTCAGTCTGCTCTAACCCTAACTTAGAGGAAAGAAAGGCGGGCGGGCGGGCCCTCATCAGTGTCCATTCACCCAAGCCCAGCTGCTGTGCCCGTTTCCTGAGCCTCCCCACAGAGAGAAGCCTTCTAGAAAGGAAGGGTAAAGTACAGCCAGGAGTCACTAAGAAAACAGGTGGGAATTAAATCCCCAATGCCCACACCATCTGAGCTGCCGTCCACTGCCTGACTCGCCACACCTCATGCCAAATGGCATCTCCAGGCTCGGGAAACAGCCAGCAGGCCCCACCGCTGGGGAGTGACTCTAGCATACAAACACCTTTCTCCACCAAGATTCAAGTCTCTGTTTCAACTTGTGCTCCCAGAGTCTCCAGCAACAGTTGTAACAAGGCCGGACTCGGTGGCTCAGCCTGTAATCCCAGCACTTTGAGAGGCCGAGGTGAGTGAATTGCCTGAGCCCGCGGGTTCAAGACCCGCCTGGGCAACTTGGTGAGACCTCATCTCTACAATAAATTAAAAATTAGCCGGGTGTGGCAGTGTGCACCTGTAGTTCCAGCTACTCAGAAGGCTGAGGCGGAAGGATCGCCGGAGCCCGGCAGGTCGAGGCTGCGGTGGCCAGGAGCAGCCACTGCACTCCAGTCTGGGCGACAGAGTGAGACTCCAATTCAAAAAAAAAAAAAACAGTTGTAACAAAGGTCTGGGGGCCAGCTGTGTTCACAGAGACCAGGAGAAGACGCAGGTGAGGGAGGGGCTGACCGAAAGGGTCCCTACAATACCGAGGGCTTCAGAACGCGTGCAGGGGTTTTGACAGAAAGAGCTTTCTTTTTTTTTAACACGAGACTAAAATCCAACCTTCCGATAAAATACTTCCCATGCACAAGTACACACGTACACACATACACACAAGCGTGGGCATGCACACACAGACACACACATGCACACGAGTCTCTCTGCAGGCTCTCTTCGGAAGGTAACATGAGAAACCAGTACCCGTGGCTGCCTCCGGAACAAGAACTGGGTGGTAAGAGACTTATTTTTCATAACACATTTTTTTGTACCACAAACATATGTTCCGTGATCAAAAAAAAAATTCCTTTTTTAGAATACTTTAAAGAAATTACTTAGTAAACAACACTAAGATAAACTACAATTTAAGAAAGACGCTTTTTCCCCTTTAATTTTGAAATGTGCCTTTTTGTCTAATTGCATACTACCCCCCCTAAGAAAAGTCTTTACATTTTCACTTGGAGGCTGTGGTCAGGCAATCTAAATATTAAACTTCCTGCTCTTTTACGTTCACTGTACAGCACTCCACTGCAAGGGCCTTGGTAGACAGCGCCTGGCATGTGGACTTCAAGCACCTCCCTTCCTGGAGCCTTGCCTGGAGCTTGCTTTCTGATAACACAGGCATGCCTCGGTTTCTCTGCTCCGTGTTGTTTCCCAAAGATGGCCTCTGACAGGGCTTTCTACGGGCACTGGACACTCGGGCAGCCCCTTCACTCCAACTGCCAACTAAGCGGGCCCCGAATGGGCTGACCCCCGTGGGAGCAGAAGGCAGGGAGCCCTGCAGCCCAGGGCCTGGCACCCCTCGCTTCTGCCCGGCACCGCCATGCGAGTGTCTCACCTGAGGCTGCAGAATAATGTGCAATGGCAGGAGGAGGGCAGCCAGGACCCAGAAGGAAGCGGGTCCCTTGGCCCTGCCTGACCCAGCTGCACACTGGACACCTGCTGCAGCTGCAGCTTCGGGACTCTGCTCTCTGGGCATGCACTCACGGTCCCAGCCAGCCTTACCCTCCACGGAAAATACTGGTCTCCCAGGCGACCGATTCCCAGGCACCCACGGGTGTTCTTGCCCCACACGAACAGCTCTCCTTTGTCTGCAAACAAAAAAACAGTGGGTGAAGAACAAGCTCCAAGAAGAGGATGGGTCGTGAGAACAGAGTTTCTAGAAGCAGGTACAGAGCCCACTGTTAACTTTGATTTTTATCAAGCACTGAGGTTTCCTTTTGAAGGGAAAAGCAAGCATCTTAGATGCTAGCCCCACAGCAAAACTATGTCCAAACCCAGGCCACACACTGTCCATCCACTACGAGAGAAGCATGCTCACAGAGCTGTGGGCCGGGTGGCTTAGGCACATGGAACCCCCTCCAGCTTGTCCCTTAAAGCTCCAACCCCCCCTCCACAGTTACATCTGACCAAACTCTCCCGTCCACAAATCCTGGCTCCACCCTGGGCTTCCTAATTTGATAGTGAAAGGTAGGACAGTCTGTCCCTCCTGATTTGGGTGTCCATACCCTGGGAGCATTCGGTCAAGTGGCATCTAGTTCCTGGATGTCTGTTTGTGCTGGATCTGAGTCTGTGATCTAGGAGCTAGGGACATGACAGTGACTGAACAGATGTAGTTCCTGTCTTTATGAGACGTGATCTAATCAAAGTGCTAGAAATGACTAAACCAACAAATATATGTTTATAAATTGCAGAAAGTGTCACAAAGGAAAAGGTCAGGGTGCTACAGAAGGCCAAGCTGGGAGACGGAATCTAGGCCGGGGCCCCGGAGATACTGCCTCCAGGGAGGATCCCGCCCTCAGGTAGGACTTCCATCTACACCAGCTTGGGACTGCCTTGGCACTGAGCCTGCATTTCACCACCTGCTGTCAGGTACAAGGGAGGCAGAGGAAGCAACATGAAGAAGCCAGAACTCTGATTATCAGGACTATTACAAGCTGTCTCAGCCCCTCTGGTCTGATCATCACCCTGTCCTCCACTTACACCTTAGGTGTTAAACAGAACAATTTGGCCTGGCCCCTCAAAATGTTAGCAGACTACAGCATAAACCACCCAACTCCCATTTCCAGGTAGCCATCTGCAAAGGCTGGGTGCACAGAAAGGGAGACACCCACGCTCTGATGTACCGTCTACTGAGGGATAGCAACTTGTACTTAGAGGGTGGCTACTGGATCCTGGGGGGGAATCTGGAGAGGGTCTTCATTTTGCTGTGATCTGAAATGGCTACATGCATGACAGCAAACAGAAAAGAGTCTGCTCTACTCAAAACACCTCACACAGATTCCAAATATTTGATTCTGCATATAGTTCAAACCTGAGAACATTCTGGAAAGTAGATATTTGTACTTCTAGAATTAGTCCACATGACTCTTTTTTGGTAAAGCAAAACAGCTTTGAAATTTCACGAGACATAGAGTCATCTGCAAATGGAATAGCTACTCTGGCCAAGCAGGGTCAGGGAATGCTTCAGCTTGGTCATCACGGCTACCACTTAGTCCTTCAATCCATGCAGAGCCAGAGAAAATTCCAACCCACAGCCACATCACCCCATGCCACAGCCTGCCTGCTGTAAGGGTCCCGAAGCCTGGAGTTCAGACAATAGGTAAAAGCAGTCAGGACCCTGGTACAGAGGGCGGCATTCAGAACAGTCCTCACATCAGTTTGAGGCCACAGAACAAACAAGAGCGACCCAAACTGAACGTCCTGGCCAGACACTTAAAAGAAAAAAATGACTTGTCATGAGATGAAAAGATGTTTTAATTACAAGGAAATAACTAATTTACTTGAGAGTCACAAAATGAGATTAATTTGGTACAGTTGTGCTGCTCCAGTCAACCAAAGAGCAGCAAACTGAACCAACAGCAACTGTGGTGGAGTAAGATAAGCCATCAAGAAAAGCACGCATTCCGGAGCCGGCAGAGTAACTGGATACGCTGTGGCTGTGTGACCTGGCAAGCCCTGGAGAAGCCCTCCACTTCAGCCTTGCCTTTGATCACTCTCTCCCGCGCTTTGGAGAAATGGGTGGACGGACCTCCAGAAAACCTCAGGCTGGTCTTACAAACCTGCCTCTTGCCACACCCCATCCGTATCTGGCTCCGATCGGGGCTGCGGGCTTGGCCAGCGGATGGGATTAAACCCCACACGATCATTTCCTAATTACCCACCCGCGGATTCGCTGGACCTCTGCTGGTTTCCTCCAGCACCCTGAAGCACTCGAGGTCCCGTCCGCCGGCCACCAGCGGGTGCCTCTTGAGAAAATTCACATTCATGTTAGCCTAACCACAAACCAAACGAACCAAAAACAAAACTTCAGGATGAAAAAAAGACACACATTATACAACCTCAAGCCAAACAAGTTCTGGATTAGCCCCTCTCTAATTATCCATTCAAAGGCGCCACACCACTGGATGCGCAGAAACCCAGAGCTGCCCCGTTTGGGCTGACCCTGAAGGAGTGAAGCTCTGCCAGTCTTACTCTGGGGCCGCCCAGCTTGGTCACTTACTGGTAAGTGCAGCAAAGTGGCTGAGTCCACATCGAACACGGGAGACCTGGATGTCTGGGTTGAACTCCGTGAGGCCAAAGAGAGTGGGTGGAATCAGTTCTGGAAGAGCAGTTTCCACTAGGTTTGGTCCTTTCCCAAGAATTCCATAGCCCCAGACAAAAACATGTCCTTCCCCTACGTTGCAATAAAAACAATGGTCAGTAAGTCAATCCAAGTGGAGCCCTCCCTCACCAGAAATGCAAACTGTACCACCAAGATTCATTATATCCATACAGATTGTACTTTTTTCCCTTTTTGCTTGGCAAGAACATGCTGACAGAGATTTGAAATAATTCTCTCTCCCCTGCTTAAATTCTTGCTTGTGGAGTCTGTCTCGCCAGCTAACCAAAGGCAGAATGCAAAATCCCCCTGTGGTGAGGGTAACCTGGAGAGGACCGGAGTGCACATCAGCCAGAAAACCCACATGAATATAAACCAACTGGAGGACAGCTTTCCCCTACGAACGACTCCACATTTTTCACGAATCAGAAGACCGAGCCAAACACATAAACAATCTCTGGCCAGATTTAAGAACTCTTAGAAATACTTTTTGAGTTGCAAAAAGTATAATATCCATCAGTGGTGCCAGACACTTAATCCCAGGGGCCCAGATCGCGGTATCCAAACTCTAAGGGCTCTTCTCCCATCTGCCTTTTATTCTTGGCTGGAGAAGTCAGGGCCGGAATCTCTGGCCCAGGCCAAGGGAGGGGAATAAGTATTTCACTCTCTGCTCCAGCGGTTTGCTACAAAATGACCAAGCTCTGTTGCTGTCTGTCTGCGAACCAATCACAGGCTGTGATCTTTCTGTCAAGAATTTCACCCTCACCCTCTAGTAACTGAACCCAGGCCAGCCAGACCTTCCCATGGCCACGTTGTCATCCTCAAGCTGAAGTCAGCCTGTGAATCCGATGGCCGCTGCTATCCCCCCACCCAATCCACCTGCTGCCCCCCAGTGAGCCATCAGAAGGGAGTCTCACCGTTCAGCACAGCACAGCCTGTACCGCCGCATGCAGCCTGCTGCACCTTCCCCACTCCTGAGAAGGGCAGGCACCGGGGCACGTTCACCTGAATCAAAGAAAGTGTCCACACTGTCAGGTAAGCACACCGTGACACCTGGGAAGGATTCTGGCCTTAGGGACCGAGTCCCAGTTCATTCACTCCACAGTTCGTTCACTCCGCAAATGTTCCCAGGCATCTAGCAAATACTTAAGCATCATACCAGGTGCTGGGGACACAATGGGCCACAAAAGAGACCCAGTTCCCACCCTCAGAGAGTTCTTGTCCAGCAAAGGAGGCAGGTGTCAACTAAAATTAACATAAAACCACATTTATGCCAAACGGAATGAAGAAAAGTGTAAGGGGCTCATGACGGTGTATGGCAGAGAACCTAGCCAGAGGAGTCAGGCAGCCTTCGATGCGTCCTGAGATCTGAGGGGTACGCAGGAGCTAACCTGGCAAGGGAAAAGAGGGGAGTGTCCCAGGTGGAGGGGATGGCACATGCACAGTGAATGGGGCGAGCACAGCACATTCACGGAGCTGAAAGGAGGCTGGGCTGAAGCAGGGGAATGGGGAGGAAAACGGTATCAGATGCCAGTTGGAAGGGAGGCCAGATCGCACAGGGTGGTGTCGGCCTCAGTGGGGATGTGGCCCTTATCCTAAGCACAATGGAAGCCAGTAAGGGTCCCCGGCAGGGCTGAGACACAATCTCTGGAGCAGAACGTGAGTGGATGCGGGTAGCAATGGAGAAGGACCGGGTGGGGGTGAGCACAAGTTCCCTTGAGACGTACTGAAGGTGCAGTGCCCAGAGACCGCCCAGTGGAAACATCAAGGGTACCCAGAGATGTCTGAACTCCAAAGGGAAGTCGGGGCCTAAGATGTACATTGGACAGTTCCTCGGAGTTCAATGGTCACTGAAGCCACAGGTGTGAGATCTCTCAAGAGCGAACACAGAGCAAAGGAAAGCAAAACACACACCTCAAGGATCTTCAACACCCAAAGACCTGGCGAAGAGGACAACCAGGGATGAGATCAAGAAGGAACAGCAAGACAGGCAAGAGGGCATGAGAGAGGGCAGCAGTGTGGGTAAAGGGAAGAGTGTTATATTCACCAAGGTGGTCAACGTGCCAGGGTGCTGAGACACTGAGAAAGACAAACAGGCAAAAAAGTTCTCTTTAGGAGCTTTATTATTTTTAGCAACATGGAGGTCACTGGCAACCTGAGCAAAAGCCAAGTGGGATGGGCTGAAGAACAAACAGAAGACAAGGAAACAGAGTTAGTAAACACAGCTCTTGAGAGGTTTGGCTTAGAAGGAGAAGCAAGAAAGCAAGCCAGGGGCTGTGGGGAGACAGAGGAGTCCAGTGCAGACTGACGGTGCGGAGCCAGTCGAGGGTGCAGGCTGACATCATGGGAAAGAAGGCCCGGCAGACGGAGAAGGGCCCTGAAAAGGTGGAGGAGACGGGATCCAGGGCAAAGCACAAAGAATCCGCGTCAGATGGAAGCCCCTCTCGCGTACTCCTCCTCCGGCATCAGAAAGGAGCACGTCCAGGTGGGCAGCGTGCGGGACGCCCAGCACCAAGGGCATGCCCCTCTAGCAGCATCAGCTCACCCGACAGGAGGCGAGGCCGCTGCCACGAGTCAGAGCTTAGAGAGTGAAGTGTGGCCAGCTCGGCTTTCTAGCAGGACTCGGTCCTGGCTCTCCTGCTGCGCAACAACTTCAGAAAGACGGATTCTAAGTGCTTCTGTGACAGCCCCGCATCTCTACAGATTCCCTTTCAAATGGACACGGCTGGAGAACAGACCCTAAGTCGGCTCAAAAGGACAAAGGGGCTCGCTGCTCCAGAAAGCGTATGCCTGGATGAAGCCCGGCTGTCAGAGCTGTGACCTGGACTCCACTTGGCTCTCGGGAGAGTCATCACATAACTGCTCTGGCACAGCGCCCTCCGCACATGCTGAGAAATGCTCCCGCCAACAGCCGTCGGACACCCACCACAGCAGTCACTCACAGGATGAGGCTTGAGCCACAGGAAAGAATCAAGATGGAATCCATTTTTTCAAGTAAATAAATCAGTTTGTAAAACTCCAGCTTGTGGCAGGACGGCCCCCAGTGAGCCATCCCATCCCCGTTATTCAGGCTCGTGTATAATCCACAACCCTCGTGTAGGGACTGGTTCTAGGGACTTGCTTCTGAGAGAACCTCAGCAACAGTGAGGGGTGTCACTTCTGAGATTAAATCATTAAACACTGCTTCTGTCTCACTGGAACTCTCCGGCCCTCTCACTTGCTCACTGGTGAAGCCAGCAGCCATGCTGCGAGCCGCCCCACGGAGAGGCCAGCACGGCAAGGAACCGAGGAAGGCCTGGCCAACCGCCAGCAGGAACCAGGGCCTCAGTCCAATGGTCCGCAAGGGCCTGTGCCCTGCCAGCAGCCACCAGAATAGGCGTGGAAGCAGAGCCTTCCCTGGCTTAACCCTAAGATGACTGCAGTCTTCCAGGGACTCAGAGCCAAAGTCACACAGAAACTGTGACAAAATAAACGAGTGTTGTTTTAATCTACTACGTTTGGGGTCATTTGTTATGCAGCAGTAGATAACAATGACATAACACTGGCTCTGTCCCCCACAGGAAGGCCAAGGGAGACACTTTTCTCAGGCTTTGGTGTCAGGGACAGCAGTGTTTCTCCTGAACACTTTATTTGTTCTTTTAACTAATAGAAACAATAAATCATTCAAATTACCATGCTTCCAGCTTTGTTTTGCCTAGGAGAGGGTGCAGAGCCAAACCACTTCTAGCCACTGTGCCAGACCATAGAGGAAGCATTTTTTACATTTTATTAGCTGTTAGTTTCCCTTTGTGCAGATTTCTTTACCTATTCATACGTATTTAAAACCCCTCTGGCTGGGTGTAGTGGCTCACGCCTATAACCCCAGCATTTTAGGAGGCCAAGGCAGGAGGATTGCTTGAGCCCAGGAGTTTGAGATCAGCCTGGGGAACATGGTGAGACTTTGTCTCTATAAAAAGAAATGTCAGCTGGGCTCGGTGGCTCAGCCTGTACTCCCAGTGCTTTGGGAGGCTGAGGTGAGTGGACTGCCTGAACCCGCGGGTTCGAGACCTGCTTGGGCAACTTGGCAAGACCTCATCTCTACAATAAATCAAAAAAATTAGCCGGGCATGGTAGCGCATGCCTGTAATTCCGGCTACTCAGAAGGCTGAGGCGGAAGGATCGCCGGAGCCCAGCAGGTCGAGGCTGCAGTGGCCGGGAGCAGCCACTGCACTCCAGTCTGGGTGACAGAGTGAGACTCCAACTCAAAAATAAAATAAAATAAAATAAAAATAAAAATAAATGTTAAAAATTAACCAGGTGTGGTGGCATACACCTGTAGTCCCAGTTACTTGGGAAGCTAAGGAGGAAGAATCGTTTAAGCCCAGTAATTTAAGACTGTGGTGAGCTGTAATCATGCCACTGCCCTCCTGAGTGATAGAGTGAGACCCCGACTCAAAAAACTAAAAAATAATAATAATAATGTGAAATTCCTTCTGTATATTGTCAGAAGTCTGATCATATTAAAGAATATAGTTTGTTTCTTGGTTTTTTTTTTTGAGTTGGAGTCTCACTCTGTCTGTCGCCCAGACTGGAGTGCAGTGGCCGCTCCTGGCCACCACAGCCTCGACCCGCTGGGCTCTGGCGATCCTTCTGCCTCAGCCTTCCGAGTAGCCGGAATTACAGGCGCGCGCTACCACGCCCGACTAATTTTTTTTTTTTTTTTTTTTATTGTAAAAATGAGGTCTCGCCTGCCCAGGCGGGTCTCAAAACCGCAGGCTCAGGAAATCCACTCACCTCAGCCTCCCAAAGGCGCGGGATTATAGGCTGAGCCACCGAGCCCAGCATATAGTTTGTTTCTTAAATAGTCCTTATCTTTTAGAGATAGTGAAACTTTTATGAATGAAATATTATGCCTACGATTTGCTTCAATAATTGAGGGCAGAGAAATACATGGAATTACAGATGCAACAAAATTGGCCGTTAGCAGTATGGGGTTTTTTTTGGAGGAGTGAAGACAATGTTCTGGAATCTGACAGTGGTGACAGCTGCACAACCATGTGAATATACTAAAAACTACTAAATTTTACACTATAAAATGGTGAATTATAGTAAGTGAATTTTTTTTTTTTTTTGAGTTGGAGTCTCACTCCGTCGCCCAGACTGGAGTGCAGTGGCCGCTCCCGGCCACCGCAGCCTCGACCTGCTGGGCTCCGGCGATCGTTCCGCCTCAGCCTTCCAAGTAGCCGGAATTACAGGTATGCGTTACCATGCCTGGCTGATTTTTGATTTATTGTAGAGATGAGGTCTCGCTGCCCAGGCAGGTCTCGAACCCGCGGGCTCAGGCAATCCGCTCACCTCAGCCTCCCAAAGGCGCGGGATTACAGGCTGAGCCACTGAGCCCGGCTGTAAGTGAATTATTATGTCTCTATTTTATTTTTTTGAGTCAGAATCTCACTCTGTCACCCAGGCTGGAGTGCAGGGCATACTCAGCTACCACAGCCTCAACCTGCTGAGCTCAAGCAATCCTTCTGCCTCAGCCTTCTAAGTAGCTGGGACTACAGACATGCGCCACCACGCCCAGCTCATTTTTTTTTTGTAGAGATGAGGTCGTACCATGTCGCCCAGGCTGGTCTCGAACTCCTGGGCTCAGGCAATCCTCTTGCCTCAGCCTCCCAAAGTGCTGGCATTATAGTCATGAGTCACCACACCCAGTCTACACTTCTATTTTTTAAAATGGGCTATTAGTTGGTAATTGTAGCCCATACATGATGGGTAGAAAGAGATTAATTATGCAACAATGTCTACCTTTTGTTTATATGAGGGGGATCCAAAAAAACAGAACTTACTAAAAAATTATGTATTTATTCTTACATGTTTCCACTGCAGTCACCCTCAAAGGACTCTCCGTTTGATGCGATACACCTACTGAGATGCTTTTTCCACTGCTCAAAACAGTTTTTGAATTCACTGATTTTGATGCCTTTTAGTGCTTCTGCCATTTTCTGTTTCACCTCTTCCACATCAGAAAAATGTTTCCCTTTGAGGAATTTTTCTTCCAGGAAAACAAAAAAAGTCACTTGGGGCAAGATCGGGTGAATAGGGTGAATAGGGCACAGGGGTCATACTGTTTTCGGTCACAATGCTGAACACTAAGCATGGTGTGGGCAGGCGTGCTCAAAGTCACCCATCATGAAATGGGCAAAATATTGACAGCATCTCCAAAAAAATTTCACTGAAGCCGAATGCAGCCGCTCACAACACTAAGCTAGTGCACTGATGCCATGGGTTTCTAGGACACTCACCACCTAATGGGGGAAGCCTGTACTATAAGCAGCCCGCCCTCCAAAAGATAATCCCAGCTTTTGGGGGGTCACCCACGTATTTGAAATTTTCCTTAATAAAAGACTAAAAATCCTACTGTATTGTCCTGACAGTGAGGCTCCCTTGGTGAGAGGAAGGGGGCAGTGATGGGAAGAGGTCACAAGACCGGGCTTCTGACGTGCCGCCAGTGTGCACCGCCTATCTAGGTAGGGTCACGCTGACTTACTTCACTGAGCTGCCCACGTATGATCTGTGTGCTCACCAGCATGTATGTTAGACTGCAATCAAAAGCACACATGTGACATCATAGTAAACAGCCTCGCTTCCTGTTTGGAACAAAACAGTGTATACAGGCTTACCTAACATACATTTCTAAACCAGAACCATCTCATCTAAGTATTGATAATGATGGCTTTTAAATCTCAACTTCCTTCCAGACTGAAACTGAAATCACCAAGAACTCAGCATCCTAAAAAGGCAGTTTTATAGTAGCTGGTTAGGCCTAAACAGCACTTTATACATCACAATTTGATGAAGCTCTGTTAAGTGACCTTAATGCTTTATGTTTTTAAACCTCCCAGCACCAGGCTGTAGGTGACCTCATACCTGTGTGGCATCTGTGACAGAAGCCAGCTGCAAATACTCAGAGTTTCCCCAACCGAAGAGGCCTCCGTCGGCAGACACAGCCAGGCAACAATCCCCATAGGTGGCAACCTGGACAATGTTCACTCCTGCAAGGTCGCCACCCAGCTTGGTGGGCATGCTGGTGATATTGTAGTGGCCCAGACCTAAGACAGTGGACAATACTTATTTTAATTACCCATTCTTTTAACAAACACTTAACCAAGACTTACTATATGCCAAGCACGGTTTTAACAAACATCAACTCAGGAATCCTAATTGGTTCCTCTGCTTGCCTATACAACGTCTTTCTCTGTTCTCTCAGAAGAAGAAAAGGGACATGACAGTAACTGGTATATTTTTAAAACCCTTGGAATTTTCGAGGTCTGATTCAAGTTAGAAAACTTGATGCGATGAAATACTACTTCACAATGAAACTTCTGTAGTGCATAAATTACAACAAGCAATTTCTATGTATTGTTGGGCTTGCTAGAAAATAAAGGAAATCTCTGAGAATTCATCCTGCCCCAACACCACTCCCAAAAGACACTGAACCGAAACTGGTTAACAGTAAGCAGCGGAAAAGATTGAACTTGCCCTAAGGATAAACGTCAATATTGGCAACAAGATGGAGGGTAACCTTGGGCGGCAAAGAGCATGGAACATAGCCTCCTGCTTTAAACCAGGGCCCCTCACAGGAGATCAAAGCGGTGTCAAGTAGGTAGCAATCCTCAGAAACAGGCAAAAGCAAACAAACCCTCTCTGAAAGAAAGATCTCCAATTTAGGTCCTTAGGACTTTCACAAATTCAATCCAATAAAATATGAGTTCACAATCAAAACTTACCAAACATATAACAAAAAATGCCAGTCTGAGTGACAGTCAACAAAACCAACAAACAACTGATTTACACCACTCACGTTTATGGAATTATGACACACAAAACAAAAAATGACTCTGTGTGCAAAATACAGAAATAAAAACAGGAATAAGAAAGTATCAAAAATGACAAGCAATAATTTTTTTTTAAAAGAAAATGAGTCGGGCTCGGTGGCTCAGCCTGTAATCCTGTGCCTTTGGGAGGCTGAGGTGAGTGGATTGCCTGAGCCCACGGGTTCAAGACCCACCTGGGCAGCGAGACCTCATCTCTACAATAAATCAAAAAATTAGCCGGGCATGGTAGCGCGCACCTGTAATTCCGGCTACTCGGAAGGCTGAGGCGGAAGGATCGCCGGAGCCCAGCAGGTCGAGGCTGCGGTGGCCGGCGCGGCTACTGCACTCCAGTCTGGGTGACAGTGTGAGACTCCAACACAAAAAAAAAATGGAAAAAGAAAAAGAAAATGGGGCAGGGTTCAGTGGCTCAGCCTGTAATCCCACGCTTTGGGAGGCCGAGGTGAGTGAATTGCCTGAGCCCGTGGGTTCGAGACCCGCCTGGGCAACTTGGCGAGATCTCTTCTCTACAATAATTCAAAAAATTAGCTGGGCATGGTAGCGCGCACCTGTAGTTCCAGCTACTTGGAAGGCTGAGCCAGAAGGATCACCGAAGCCCAGCAGGTCGAGGCTGCGGTGGCCAGGAGTGGCCACTGCACTACAGTCTGGGCGACAGAGTGAGACTCCAACTCAAAAAAAAAAAAACCAAACAAAAACAAGCCTAGACAATAAACATTTTTTTTTTTTGAGACAGAGTCCCACTCTGTTGCCCAGATTGGAATGCAGCAGCACACTCACAGTCACCGCAGCCTTGACCTGCTGGGCTCAGGTAGTCCTTCCGCCTCAGCCTTCTAAGTAGCTGGAACCACAGGCATGTGCCAGCACACCCAGCTAATTTTTTTTTTTTTTTTTATTGTAGAGATGAGGTCTCACCATGTTGATCAGACTGGTCTCGAACTCCCAAGCTCAGGCAATCCTCTCACCTCTACCTTTCAAAGTGCTGGGATTACGGGCATGAGCCACCACACCCGGCTATACACATATATTTTAAGTGATTATTCTCAGTAGTAATTAGGAAAATGCAAATTCAAACCTCAATTGGCACTATTTCACAGCCCGTAGACAGGCAAAACATTTATGGAGACAATATCAAACTTTGGTCAGGTTGTGGAACAAGACCCTGCTGCTGTGAGAGCTACCTGTTATGAATATTTTAGAAAACAATCATTTGAATGCATATGCACATTCTATAACCCAGCACTTCCACCCCCAGAATCTTCACCAGGGCACCTCAAACTTGTAAACATACGTACAATGAGACATACAGATAGTCATAGCAGCACTATCTGTTACATAACAAAAAGTTGGAAAGCACCCAAATGTTTATCAACAGGAAAATGGATAAACTGATATATATTCCATGTGGACTATCATACAGCTATACCTCAAAGAACTGCATTTAGCAAAGTAACAGGATACGAAGTCAACACATAAAAATCAATTGCGTTTTTTGGGTTTTTAAGTCAGGATCTCGCTCTGTCACCCAGGCTGGATGGAATACAGTGGTACAATCACAGTTCACCATAGCTTCGACCTCCCAGGCTCAGGTAATCCTCCTGCCTCAGCCTCCCGAGTAGCTGGGACTACAGGTGCGTACCACTATGCCCAACTAATTTTTTTGTAGAGACAAAGTCACACTATGTTGCCTAGGCTGAATTACATTTCTTCATACTAGCAATGAGCAATCCAAAAAAGAAATTAAAAAACAATTATATTTATAATAGCATTAAAAAGAGAATAAAGCCCTTAGGAATTAACTTACCCAAGCAGGTAAAAGACTTGTACAATAAAAACTATAAAGTATTGCTAAAAGAAATGTTAAGCCTGGGCACGGTGGCTCATGCCTATAATACCAGCACTTTGGGAGGCAGAGGCAAGGGAACTACCTGAGCCCACAGGTTCGAGACCAGCCTGGGCAACATGGTGAAACCTCATCTCTACAGTAAATCAAAAACTTAGCCGGGCACAGTGGGACACGCCTGTGGTTCCAGCTACTTGGAAGGCTGAGGTGGAGGGATCACCTGAGCCCAGCAGGTCGAAGCTTCAGTGGCCACGAATGTGCCACTGCACTCCAGCCTGGGCGACAGAGTGAGACTCTGACTCAAGAAAAAAAAAGAAATTATAAAATATATAAATAAATGGAAAGACATCCCATGTTCATGGATTGGAAGAATTAACACTGTTATGCAATTCCTATCAAAAACATCCCTATGATGTTTTTTACAGAAATAGAAAAACACATTCTAAAATTCACATGGAATCTCAAGGGACCCCAAATAATCAATGATCTGAAAAAGAACAGAGTTGAAAGATTCATACTCTCTGATTTCAAAACTTACAACAGTGGAAGGGCGGGAAGGAAAAGAGGGATGAAAAATCACCTATTGGGTACAATGCATACAGGTGGAGGAAGCGGGTACACTTAAAGCCCAGACTCCTTCACCGTATACAATGCATCTATGTAACCAAAAACCACTTGTAACCCCTAAAGCTATTGAAAAAAAAAATTTTTTTTTTTTTGAGTTGGAGTCTCTGTCGCCCAGACTGGATTGCAGTGGCCGTTCCCAGCCACCACCGCAGCCTTGACCTGCTGGGCTCCGGCTATCCTTCCACCTCAGCCTTCCAAGTAGCTGGAACTACAGGCGCATGCTACCACGCCCAGCTGATTTTTTATTTATTGTAGAGATGAGGTCTCGCCTGCCCAGGCGGGTCTCAAACCTGCGGGCTCAGGCAATCCACTCACCTCAGCCTCCCAAAGGCGTGGGATTACAGGCTGGGCCACCGAGCCCAGCTTAAAAATAATTTTTTAAAAAACCTACAACAAAGCTACACTAATCAAAACAGTGTGGTACTGGCACAGACAGATATATAGACCAACAGAATTAGAATAGAGACACCAGAAAGAAACTAACATATATGGTCGACAAAGGCACCAAGACCATACAATAGGGAAAGGACAGTTTGTTCAACAAATGGTGCTGGGGAAACTTGATATACACATGCAAAAGAATGAAGGCGAACCCTTATCTAACACCATATACAAAAATTAACTCAAAATAGATCAAAACCCTAAACACAAGAGCTAAAACTGCAAAATTCCTGGAAGAAAACATAAGGCAAAGGCTTCATAACACTGTATTTGGCAATGACTTCTTGCACATGACACCAAAGGCACAAGCATCAAAAGAAAAAATAGACAAATGGACTTGATAAAAATGTAACACTTTTGCATCAAAAGTCAAAACAACAACAGAATGGAAAGAAATATTTGCAAATAATGTCTGATAAGGGATTAATATTCAAAATATACTGAAAACTCCTAAAACTCAACAACTCAAAAAAACTCAATTTAAAAATGGGCAAAGGACTTAAAAATATACATTTTTCAAGTTTCTCCAAAGAAGTTATAAAATGTCCAATAAGCATATGAAAAATGCTCTAAACCACTAACCATTATGAAAACTCAAAATATTATGCCACTTCACAACCATTAGAATGGCTACTATCAAGAAAACAGAAAACAACAAGTATTCATGAGGATGTGGAGAAACTGGAATCCCTGCGCCCTGTTGACAGAAATGTAAAATAGTACAGCTGCTGAGGAAAACAAGTATGGCAGTTCCTCAAAATCTGTAAAACAGAATTACCCTGTGATGCAACAGTTCCACTTCTGGGTATATACTCGAAGGAACTGAAGGCAGGATTTCAAAGAGGTATTTGTGTGCCGTCATTCACAGCAGCACAATTCACAATAGCTAAAAGGTGGAAGCAACCCCAGTGTCCCTTGACAAATGAATGCATAAGCAAAATGTGGTCTATACATACAATGGAATCTGATTCGTCCTTAATAAGGAAGGAAAGTGTACCATCCGGCAACTGTTCCTTGGTAATTACCCAAATGAGTTGAAAACTTATGTCCACACAAAAACCTGCACACTAACATGTACAGCAGATTTATGCATAACTGCAAAACTTAGATGCAAGCAAGATGCCCTTCAGGAGGTAAATGGATAAACGGCGGCACATTCATGCAATGGAATATTATTCGGCACTAAAAAGAAATGAGCTACCAAACCAGGAGAAGATGTGGAGAAAACTTAAATGCATACGACCAAGTGAAAGAAGCCAATCTGGAAAGGCTACCTGCTGTCTGAGTCAACTGTATGGCTTTCTGGAAAAGGAAAAATATAGACAGTAAAAAGACGGTCAGTGGTTACCAGGGGTTGAAGAAAGGTAGGAGTGGAGATGATTTTTAAGGCAGTGAGACTCCTCTCTGTGATGCTATAACGGCAGTTACATGTCATATGTTTGTCTAGACCCAAATACTTAACAATACGAAGAGTGAGGCCTACTGTAAACCATGGACTTTGGGCGATGTGTCAACACAGGTTCATCAGTAGTAGCGAACGCATCGCTTGGGTGGAGGGTGTTGATAATGGAGGAGGCTAAGGACACGGGGGAAGGGAGTCCAAGGAGGATCTCTGTACCTTCTGCTCGGTTTTGCGACGAACATAAAACCTCTCTAAAAATCAAGTCTATTAAAAAAAGGAAATTTTGACAGAGGCTACAACACAGATGAACCTTGAAGACATGATGCTGAGAGTAAGCCAGTCGCAAAACAACAAATATTATGTGATTTCACTTATGTGAGGTACCTAGAGCAGTGAGATTCATAAAGACAGAAAGAACAGTGGTTACCAAGGGGAAGGGAATGAGAAGCTATTGTTTAATGACTGAGCTTCAGTTTTGCAAGATGAGAAGGTTCTGGATACGGACGAGAGTGATGGTTGCACAACAATGTGAATGTTCTTAATACTACTGAACTAAAAATGGTTAAGATGGTAAAGTTTATGTTATGTGTGTCCTACCACAGCTTTTTAAATTAGAGGGAAAAAAGAGTAGTTACAGACAGGATTTGGCCACCCTAGTTATAAGAAAAAAAGAACTGCAAATATAATACCTACAACATGGCTGAATCTTCAATATGACCCCTAGTATACGCAAAACTAATTACTACAGAAGTGTGCATGTGTACTTTTTCCCCCTCAAAGAAGGGATAACAGATAAGATTTAGGACAGTGGGTCTTCCTGGGGGGGGGGGTCTAGAGAAGGGGATGGCACAGGAGAGGAGTCCATGGGCATCAGGACTTCATTCCTTTCTATGGCTGAATACTACTCCACTGTATGAATGTGTTACATTTTGCTCCTCCATTTACCAGTTGATGGACATTTGGGTTGCTTTTGCTTTTTGGCTATTATGAATAATGCTGCTCTGAACATTTGTGTACAAGTTTTTATGTGGACATATGTTTTCATTTCCCTTGGATACATACCTAGAAGTGGAATTGCTGCCCATATGGTAATTCTACATTTAACTTTTGAGAAATGACTAAACTGTTTTCCACAGTGGCTACACCATTTCACATTTCTACCAGGAATGTACGAGGGTTCCAATGTCTTCACATCCTCACCAACACTTGTTAGTTTCTGTTTATTTTATTGTAGCTATACTAGTGGGTATGAAGTAGTATCTCATTTGTGGATCTGATTTGCATTTCCCTAATGACTATTTATGCATGCATCTTTCATGTGCTTATTGGCCATCTGCATAATCTTCTTTAGAGAAATGCCTACACAAAACTTTGCCTCTTTTTTTAACTGGGTTGCTTTTTTGTTATTGACTTGTTAGAGTTATTTATATATTCTGGATACTAGACCCTTATTAGTTTACAAATATCTTCTCCCATGCTGTGGCTGTCTTTTCACTTCCTTGATAGTGTCTTTTAATGCACAAATGTTTTTAATTTTAATGAAGTTCATTTTGCTCTTTTTTTGTTGCTTGTGCTTTGGGTATCATATTTTTAAAACTGTAGCCTAGTCCAAGGACACAAGGATTTACACCTGTATTTTCTTCTAACAGTTTTAAAGTTTTGCCTTTTACATTCATATTTTTATCTATTTTGAGTTAATTTCCACAGACAGCGTTAGGTAAACAGTCACCCTCATTCTTCATTTTTTTTTTGAGTCGAGGTCTCATTCTGTCACCCAAGCTGGAGTGCAGTGGCACCATCATAGCTCAATGTAACCTCAAACTGCTGGACTTAAGTGATCCTCCCATCTCAGCCTCCTGAGTAGCTAGGACTACAGGATGACACCACCACGCCCAGCTATTTTTTAAATTTTTGGTAGAGACAGGGACCCATTCTGTTGCCTAGACTGCTCTTAAGCTCCTGGCCTCAAGCAATCTTCCTGAGATTACAGGCATGAACCACTGCACCCAGCCAAGGTTTTTTTTTTTTGAGTTGGAGTCCTGCTGGGC